ATTAGGAGAAGGGTGAAGTTAGATCCAACAAATCACATATTGCTAATAAAAGGTAATTTTATTCCGTGCGGCATTCGCAAATTACCTTTTATGTAGATGGCGTGACGGTGTTTAAAGCTACATTTACAAATTTAAATGCTTAAAGAAACTCGGATAATGGTTCAGTTTAGTAATTTTAATAATAGGCTATCAGCGCGACGATTCCCTTTTAATTTTCTCGTTGGATCTCGTTTAATTTTAATGCTTGCTTTGCCAAGTACGAAAAATATTGCTAGTTTTAGAGGTGGATTTTGTACAGGGAACGCTTCATTAATTTTTATGACAATCACGAGCTGAATATCGTAAATTCGGTGATTTGGCGGGCGAATAATTGAAATCGGCGGTTTTATCATCGTTAGTTTTAATGAATCATAACTCATGGGGGAAGAGTCGTCTTCAGTCAAAGTATTATTTATTTGCTTGTGTGTACAACATATAATTGATACAAACATCAATAAATATTGCTTGCATAGCTCGTGTGACAGACATGTGACGAGAAATCATTTATAAACAAGCTTTATTTAACCGCTGATTGCGACCTAAATTGAAATTTTAGAATTCCTTGCTCGGCAGTTGGCGTCCTAATTCGGCCATACACAGTAAAATATGTTATCATTCCCGCCATCGAAGCGATAAATTATATGTTAAGTACATTTCGCCCACATTAACAACGCTTTGATCAGCCTTGAACTTTTTATTGGTAGATGGCGCTTCTTTCAGCCTTGAAAGAAAACGACTTGCATAGCCCCCGAGCCCGAGAGCGCAAATGGCGCAGCCGGTGGGATTTCGAACCATTCAATTACCGTTCAACATAGTTGCGTTAAAATAAGTAAAACCGTCGAAAGAAGCAAAACAACGCTTCAGCTATAAAACCACAACGTAGCAATTCACAAATGTCGTCGAACAAAGAAATGAAATAAAAAACTTTGTTCGTGAATCGGCGAATGGGAAAGTTGCGAAATAATTTTTACGGCTTTGATTTTATTAATAATTGAGGACGCAGGACGCGAATCGAGAACAAAAAAGTCGTTGATTTGTTTTGAAAACAAAGCCGAAATTTTACCATGAGAACTCAGCCACAACACACAAAAACCGGTCAATATTTAACGATTAACTTTGAAACTTCCAGTCGGGGAAACAAATGCCTCCAAAAGAAATAATTAAACTCGCAGAGGAAGCCAAATTAATTTGGCTAACCGTTCCAGATTTAGCTCGTCGGTATCGTGCTTTCGCCGCCATTTGCCCAATTAGTAAATTTTGCGGCTTCAGGCCTAATTCTTGCTAAGTTATGTTGTGTAAACACACGGTAAGTGTTTGTTCATGAAACTGTGGTAGCGCAAAACAGCCAAGAAATCGGCCCCATATTTACCAAACAAGCAACCGCCGCATTGTTGTTGAGAGCGCGATTCGGGACGGCCTGTAGATGCGAAAGTGGCGCAGTCGCCAGCAAATCATCGAATAAAATAAATAAAACGAAATAAATGTCATTAGGAATAAAGTTACAATAAACAAATAAAGTTTAATTGGTTCAGTCGGTAGGATTCTAAATCATATTTACTAAACAAGCACGGCTCCAGGTTTTGCTGTTATTTCGAAGTAAATGTTGATCTTAGACGCAGCGTAGATCTCCGCACGTGGTAAGGCTGAAAGTGGCGCAGTCGGTAGGATTAAAAACGGCGTTTTATATGTATTTTTCGTCTCCTGTAAATATATAATCTCGCCGCGGTGGAAATATCGTCCGCCATGTTGCCGTAATGCCCGACACGTCACCTTAATTTGTCTTTCCGGCCCAGACAAGAGGCTGAGGTTAAATGGTGTATGTGTGACAAATAGTCTCTTCGTTTCACTAAAAATTCCCCGATACTTTTTTTGCTGACCGGTTCACGGAGGGCCATAATCAGTGAGATATCTTGCGGAAACACCCTCGAAAATGTAAAGAAACGGCCTCTGAATAAATCATCGCACTTATAAATAGTTGGGTTTTTTCGATAACAAAACCGCGATCTAGAATCGAAGCCGGCTGAAATTTTCATAAATATCCGCATAAAATCTGGTCTGCGGGCTGAGCAGTCGAGCGTAAAATTTACAACCCATCGCATTAATTCCCTTGATGTTCCCAATAAATACGTTTTCAGAAATTCACATTTAAAGTAGTCGTAATGAGATTTTTTTCATTCGCAATCAAACAAAAATTATGAGCGCCGATATTTATTCGCCCCCAATAAAAATAAAATCGCCCAAACAGAGCTCATAAAAAGTGGAATTGATTACTCGTAAATCATGGCTTTTTTAGTGATGATTTGTGTTGTAGTGGTAGGATGCGGAATCGGGTTTAAACAACGATTTGACGGCTTCATTTCTTGCCATCAATTAAAATTCGGCGCGCATAGGACTAGTGGCAGGATTTTGCGAACATGAGCCTCATTAGTCTCACATTGTCTGTCATGAGAATAAACTTGTAAAGAGACAAACAAGGCTACGTCTACTATATTTTAAATAATAATGCTTTTACTTAAGCAAATATGAGGCAAAAACGTTGTCGGATTTTGCAACAAGAACAAGAATCTCGTTAGTATCGTTCGCTCCGCTTTTTAAACTTGAAGATACACGTGATTTTGTTGCTGGACCCGAAAATGGCGCAGTCGGTGGGATGCCATAAATAACGAAAATATCTCGTTAATAATGCATGATTCCTCGACACAATTAAAGTGCAGGAATGTGTCCTTTCGGATAAAAACCGCACTACAATCGCGATGCAATTGCAGTGTTTAATGAAAAAGCTCTCCGCTTGAAATCCAGTCCGCGGTTTAATCTCAGTAATTAAAGAAGCTGCGGTGCAGAAATTAGGTCTTGTAGAAAACATTAGTCGGAAACCCGTTCTTTGATAAATCCCATGTAACGCGGCACGGTAAGTTCTCTAGATTTCCCGAGAACTTCACGACTCCGCCATGTAAGTAGCTTTGCAGTTTGAAATTTGTTTCCACTCGAGACAGAGCGAAGCAAATATAAATTACGTCGGCCATTAACGAAAGAAAAAGATTATTTCCATTTAAGTATCAGCAATTAAGCGCGATTTTAATTACTCCCGAGATTCATAGTTTTATTTATGCTCGTGAAAATGACGTTTTATGGCTTGTCGAAGCAGCGCGACTACCAGAAATTAATAGGAAAAAACTCATCACGACTAACTCATTCCAGGCCGTGCTCACTTTTATTATTTCCTTTGTACTATTACTTCATAATTTCCCTTATTACGTTATCCACTCCAGGAACGACACTCGCCCGAAACACAGATGACTCATTTCCAAACAAAAATATAATTTTATAAAATGAACTAAAGAATGTAATCAAATTTCACTTCCACTTCGACTCGATACGGCTTCCTAAAGAATTTAATTTATATGAAAAAAATCCAAATATAAAAGTTTGAGTGAAGCTCTCGCAAAACAAACGTAAGATTTACGTCAGGAGGGTGGGCTTAGCCTCTCGAAATGTAACAGCATCACAAAGGACCGGCATCGATCTCCAGATGAAAAATTCTTACTTCAAAGATGGAGAGTCCATCACCGTTGTCATATTTCTTAATTTCAGCCGCGCTCTGCTGCAGATGGGACATAAATCTCGCGAAAGGAAAGGATTGCTTAAAAGTAAAAATTTGTATGTATGTAAATGCAACACGATTTAAATAGTATTGGCCGAATCTGCGAATATTGCTCCACATTTTGTCCCTCCAGACTTCGAAATATTCCTATTATGACACCACTATATTACGGCCTGCATATGCTCTCCCGTTGAGTGCATTCACGGCGCTAGGGGATCAGGAACACGGCGAGTTTTCGTGGAACTGCAGCATAAAAGTTGATTGTTGCATGCAAATGGGCAATCCGTTTCATTTATTGCTCGATCTCTTTATAAACTATTCACTGCAAGTGAATTTAAAATCGCATTACTTCGGTTCGGATTGTGCAAAGTCGTTAAAGATGATTGGGCGTTAGCGTTCCTAGAACGGATATATCGACCCATTAAATTAATATTACAGCTGTAAAAATGGCAAACTCGTCTTTCTTTTTACATCCTACCGACTGCTCCATTTGCGTGTCGAGGATCTTTCTCGCAGTCGCATTCGCTCGTCGTCGAACTACTTATTAGAAAATTTAAAGTTAATTAGTTAAGTATTTACAATTTAAGCATTCCGATAAATAACTCATGCATGAAAATAACTTCCCGAATTAATCGAGAACAATTTTTTTGTCGCTTTCGTGAAGTTTCGTGAGCCTGACAAAAATTTCTAAGGAGCTTTTAAATGTTGGTGATGTGAAAGTTAGGTGACGTCTAGTTATTGACCTCTCCCTCTTGAAACCGACGCCCCGTTCGGTATTAACTTTACTTCGCTTATTTGTTTGTCACGGGTTGATTCATTTAGTCATAACGTGCGTTTTTATCAGAAATCCCGCCGACTGCGCCACTTTCGCTCCTCTGGGCTCCGAATAAGTACGCATAAAGTTTGCAACGAGGTGTCGAAGCCCCGAAAGTGTCTTTGCCGTGGCCTGCGTGTCCTGGCGTCCCAAATGTCGCCAGGCCATTTTTTCTCTTCGCAGTAATAAATAGCCCGTTGCCCCAAATCCCCGCCGCTGCAGCGTCTCGGCAAAGCCTCCAACTTTTCTTCGTCTCATCCTCGCTCGGTTAAACTCCCATTGTCGTCGGTTAATCGCGGCGAAGGTGCAATTAGGAATTTCCGATTGGCGTAATTTAAATTTCGATTAGTTATCGTTAAAATTAATTGAAAGCCGCCTCCGGCAGTTCCGCGATCCATTCGCTAGTTTATGTCTGTCACGGTGTCACAGTCCCAAAACCGAAATAAATAACGGCCGTTAGCCAGACTCCGGGTATCGATTAGCGCTAGGCCGGCGTTAAGCGACACCAGACAAATGTCCCGTCGCTGACGCACGTTATTGTTGCAGATGTCCTGACAGCGGGGCCAGGGCCTCCAGAATGCCGGTGGAAGAGGATTATGGCCGAAGACAGATCGCGCTACAGCAGTCGCCGGCGCCGGCGCAGTGCGAGCACCGCTACGCCAGCGACAAGAACCTGCTCGAGCCGGCCGACCGCTACTCGGACAGGTTCGGCTCGGAGCGCAGCGGCTCGGATCGTTTGCCGTCGGGCGAGCGGTACCAGGGCGCGTCGGAGCGGTACCCGCTGGGGGAGCGGCCGCAGACGTCCGTGTCGTCCGAGCGCCTGCAGCCGGAGGAGAGGAGGGGGGACTTCCAGGAGAGGTACCACTACGCCACGTGCCAGCGGTACGCGCCGGTGGGCAGTCTGGATAGGTACCACACCGTGGACCGCTACTCGCGCACGAGCACGCCCACGGATAGAGCCGCGGCCGACCGCTACACGCCCGTCGACAAGTACCAGGAGGGCGAAAGGCACAACTCGGCGCAGAGCGTATGCTCGATCGAGCGGTACACGCCCACGGAACGACACAGGACGGGCAAGATCAGGGAGCGGTCGGCCAGCTCGGAACGCAAGGGCGAGCAGCGCTACCAGTACCAAAACAGGTAAGTCGACTATTAACTGATAGCATTGTTTAAGTATATTATAGTTGGACAACCTAATACAGATTTTACTTCGCCTAAATAGTGAGCTTTAGGACAAGGAATCCAAACAAATTTTTCGTCAACGCACATTTTCACTACAGTGAGCCAACGTATTAGGTTTATTTTACTCTACATCAGATGGCGCCATCAAACATTAGCAAAGACAAACACCCTTCACTCTGCTCTTATACGAGGAGTTATCCATAAATCCATAATTAACATTGTTCCGTAAACAGTAATGTGTATAAACATATACGTACAAAATCTGAAAATATGCTTGACATAAAAAATATGAAGCAACGCGTTGTAACGTGATACGAAAGAATTGAATTTAAATGCATTTGACTCCTATTTTTATTTGACTATATCTGAAGACCGACAGAAACTTTCCAAGGGTTTTTAAACTGGTATAATTGTTTAGTTTTATAAGATTAAAGTAAAACAAGATTTTAAGTAAAATGTAGATTCGTGGTTTTACAAAAATATTAACACAAAATGAAAATATATGTTCAAAGTAAATAACAGAATGACATAAACTTTCGGCGTTAACATTACAAATAATTACAAGAGAGAAAAAAACGCATTAAGAACTTTAGAGGCATGTTTGTAATATCGAGTTGTTCAAGGCTGCTTTGAAGACTGTTTGTTTCTATGAAAAACAATTGCTGTTATCCGACATTTTGGTAGATTTTGTTCAAAAAATACGAGATAACTAATTGTTTCTTGAACTAGTTTCCGTAACTTCTAAAATTTAAAAAGGATACGCCGTTCTGCTGTAATAAAATCTAGAATAAGGTCAAAATCACACTAATATTACATTAAAATAAGTTACGGACATTGTTTGAAATGTTTATTATAGTTCGAAAACAAGATAAAATAAATAAATAAATAAATAAAATGTGCAGTTTATAAACTTCAGAATTTTAGTAAAAATATAATCATGTTTGAAGCTTTATTTTGTCTGTTCGATTTTATTGGGTGTGTTGGGCCCCTCTCGGGATATAACATCGACATCAGTGCACCGACCCAACGTTCTTCAACCGATGGGATGATTTATTACTTCCGTTATGCTGGCCCTACACACAGCGATTTGGTTTTCAGATTTTCGGCTAGATCTGCACAGTGACATAGAGTATTTTGTTCACGCGAGCATCAAAAATATTACCCCGAAAGCACTTCTTCAAGTGTTATTTTTTTTTAAGATGTCATATTTGTCAGCGTTTCCAAAATTTTCTTCTCTTCAACTAATTTTTCGTAAACCGCATTTGAAAATTTTTGTTATTGTATTTTTTACTTTTTAATTTTCTAAGGCATGAAAAAATCCCATATAGGTTTCTATGAATTTATTAACGAAATCAACTGATAACTTGCGCGCCAGTTTGTGTTAATTAATACCAATAGTGATTATGATAATTTTATAATTATCATTTTAATGAAATTGTGTTCTTCACTTCGCGAACGACAGCAAACAATTTAAAATTACCGCTAGTCAAGCACATGAAAATCCATCTCTCCCAAATATGTCTTTCTTGGCACGATTTGTAATCCGAAGTCTCCCTCCACATGCAATTTTTCGTCGCCTGCTGACAACTTGTTTGATCTACAGACCAAAGCACCCTCAGGCCAATATCGGCTTTAAGCGATTTATCTATAAACCGATATTCATTAGAGTTGATCTAATACACATCCACTACGAAGAACTAACCCATTTCGACCACTGGACTTTACAACGAATAAGTGAACAAAGTTCTTGAACATCTTAACAATTTAATACATAATGTTCCCGAATGACAAAATTTACATTTCAAATTGTATTATCAAATTACACTCTCCAAAATTTGTCAAATTTTACAATAGTAAAATTGTAGTTTCACCCCATTTACGATTTATGCATCCGTGTCGAGTTTTCAGCTTAGACGTCAAGATTTTTGGAAAAAAAAATCAACATTTTCCAATTTATAATGATATTTAAATTTTAAAAAGTAGAATAGTCCTGATCTTGTGATTTATACCTAAATACGCTATTGGGATTTTTCGTCTTGTCGATTTCTTGATTTTTCAACTTTAAATGTCTCAATTTTTCAATATTTCAATTTTGGGCTTTTCCGATTCCTCCATTCTTTAAATTTTCTATTTCTTGATTTTTTTATTTTTCGATTTCTCAATCTTTCGATGTTTCAATGATACGATTTCTCAATTTTTGTCCTCTTCAATTTTACGGTTTTTAAATATTTCGATTTTTCAATTTTTCAAATTTTCACGTTTCTAAATTTTCAGTTTGCCGATTTCTAAAGTATTTTTTTTTATTTGTCCATTTCTGGACTTCCTAAAGTTTAGATTTTTCACATCTTCAATTCTTCAATTTTTCGATTTTTTAAGATTACGATTTTTCAATTTTGCTTTTTTAGATTTTCGATTTCTCAGTTTTCCAATTTTTTAATTTCTCGATTTTTTGAATATTTCTTTCAGTTATGAGATTTTTCAATATTTCACTTTTTCGACTTTTCGATTTTTGAATTGACGGATTTTTTTGATTTCTCGATTTTTTACTTTTTGGATTTTCAATTTATTGTAAACTTTAGATTTTTCAATTCTGCGACTGTTTAATGCTTCGATTTCTCAATTTTTAAACTTTTCGATGTAATATTAAAACATCGAAAAGTTTAAAAATATTTCATTTTTTTAAATTCTAGGTTTTTCGATATCTCGAGTTTTCAGTTCTTCTATATTTCAATTTTTCAATTTTTCGATTTTTTTAATTTTAATTTTCGATTTTCCAGTTTTTCTTTTCTAAAATTTTTCGATTATTCAATTTTTTATTTTCTCAATTTATCGAATTCAGATGTTTCGTTGTTTTGATTGTTCAATTTCTCAATTTTTCAATTTTTAACTTTCCTTTTCGGCTTCCGACTCCTCAATTTCTCGATCCTCCGATTTTTCGATTTCTCGAAGTCTCAGTTTTTGAATTTTTCGATGTTTCGATTTTTGGGTTTTTCGGTTTTTCGATTTTTTTCTTTTGAGCTTTTCAATTTCTGGATTTTCCAATTTTTCAATGTCCCGATTTTTCAATTTTTCAATTTTTCAAATTTTTGCGTTAAATTTTCAGTTTTCTGATTTCTCAATTAATCTATTTTTGATTTTCCCACTTCTCAAAGTTTCGATTTTTCAGTTCTTCAATTCTTCGATTTTTCGACTTCGCTTTATTGGTTTGTCGATTTCTCAATTTTTTGATATTTCTTTCAGTTTTGATATTTTTCAATACTTCGATTCTTTCATTTTTCGACTTCAAGATTTTTCTATTTTTTATTTTTGGATTTTCAGTTTTTTGTTTTTTATTTCAATTTCTCAATTTTTCAACTTTTCCGTATTTTAATTTTTAAATTTCTAGATTTTTCGGTTTCTCGAGTTTCCAGTTCTATATTTTAATTTTTTAAATTTCCGAATTTTTAAATTTTTTGAGATCTCAATTTATTGACATTCGGATGTTTCGATGTTTTGATTATTCAATCTCTCGCTTTATCAATTTTTCCATATTTAAGTTTTCGATTTTTCGATTTTGGCCTATTTCGGTTTCTCAATTTTTTGATTTTTCGACTTCTCGATTTTTCGACTCCTCGATTTTTTTGTCTTTTGATTTTTCGATTTCTCGATGTCTCAATTTTTGAATTTTACAATGTTTCGATTTTTCGATTTGTTGGTTTTTCGATTTTTTGCTTTTCGGTTTCTCGATTTTTCGATTTTTGGTTTATCCGATTTTTCAATTGTCCAATTCGACTTCTCGATTCGTTGATTTTTCAGTTCTTCAGTTCTTCAATTTTTCTATTATTTAGGTTTTTGTTTTTCACTTTTTCGATTTTTTAAGTTTGCGATTTTTAGACTCTGCTTATTAGACTTTTCTGTTTCTCAATTTGTTAATTTCCTAATTTTTTGATATTTCGTTCAATATTGTGATTTTTCAGTTTTTCGGTTTCTCAATTTTAACTTTTCAATTTGTAAATTATTAATTTTTTTCGATTTTTTGAGTTTTCAGTTCTTCTATATTTCAATTTTTCAATTTTCGGAATTTTTAAATTTTCGATTGTCCAATTTTTTTTTATTTTTCGATTTTCCAATTTTTCGATGTTTCGATTTTTGAATTAACTGATTGTTCAATTTCTCGATTTTTAAATTTTAGATTTTCCAATTTTTATTTTTTTGATTCTTTTATGTTTCGATTTCTCGATTTTACAATTTTTCCATATTTGAATTTTTTAGTGTTTTAAATTTTCGATTTCGAGGATTTACTGTGTCACAGTAGTCATCAGTCATTACTCATAAAGAACGATTATTGCTGTGCGTTAAAATGCCTACATACTGATAAGCACGTACATACAAGACACATTTAAGGCTGTTTTAAGTCTGCTAGATATAATTTTTGCAATTTTAAATTTATTTCTTGATGTCTAAATTGTATATATTTATATGGTGATGAATATTTTGTGATACAATCTTAGGATAAAATGCATTTTAGTTTCAAAGATAATATGTATTTAATGATTTGACTACTGCTAATGAAAAAAATACGTAAGAAGGTATACTGCGATAATATTAAATTTTTGTTACCTTAACCTTGAAACAGGTATGCACTACATATACATATATTACATATATGTAAAGTCTTCAACACGTACGTTTGCTTATTTTGTGACTGCTCCCCGTACAACGTAGTGATTAATACGTCCGTTTACTACCTTATCGACATCACGTGCTTACGGACTATTTTTACCCCCTTTCGTAAGGTACCGCCACTTCATAGTGAAGCGAGTGAGATGTAAAATATATATTCATTCTTTTCTACATGGGAAAGTGATTGTCCGTATAGGTTGTCCAACTATAATATACTTAAACAATGCTGATAGTAATTGAAGCGAGATAGTAATGATGTTTTTGTTTGCAGGTACGAGCAGTACGTCCCGGACCGGTTCCCCGCCATCCCGTGCCCCGAGCGCTTCGCGACCCAAGAACGAGCCGAGCGGGTGCCCTTTACGCAAGTACCTTACATGGAACCACCTTCTCCGGCTCCGGCGAGCGACCGGTTCGTGCCGCCGCCGCCGCTGTCTCCAGAAAACACGCCTAGTCCGGACTGTTTCCCCAACAACGCTTTCCCTTCTCCCACCAACACGGTCCCACCGCCCGATCGCTTCATCCCACCGCCGCCGCTGTCACCCTCGCCCACGGAGAAGTACTCCCCCAAGAAACTAGACCGGTACGACAAGCGCTACTACGACCGGTACCACAGACAGTACTACCCGAACGACCGCTACCACGTGAATACCGACCGCTTCGTCAGCAACGACAGATACATCCCTCCCAACGCGCACATGCCGGTGGAACGGTACGTGCCCCAGCAGCAGGAACCCTACTACAACTACCAGTCGTACGAGCGCTACCCCAAGTACAACGCCAACGACCCCTACATGCGGCGCGACCTCGCCTTCCACTACCGACTGCCCTTGCCCTACCCCTCCAACCAGTACCAGCGGATGCGCTACTCGCACATGGGCACCCCGAACCGCGTCAAGTGCTGCCAGTACCAGGACGGCTACCAGCTGTCCAAGTCCAGTCCGGGCTCGAGCTCGAGCAGCTCGGTCACGAGCCAAACCAACAAGGACTTGCACCCGAAGGAAGTACCGTGCGTCAACAACTCGAGTCTTCAAGAAATGCAGTGCCAAAGCTACCAGACGTGTGCGTACCAGCAGGAGAAGGGGACGCAGTGCGGGAAAGAGTGCAGCGTCGGGTTTGTGTCGCCTAACTTACGAGCGAAAGGACAATGCCGGCACAGTATTTGCGCCAGTCCGAGTGTGGAGTACGTGGGGGCGTCGGGCGGCAGGCACGTGTGCGCCACGCCGCCCCCGAGGGGCAGCATCGGCTCGGCGGAGGGCGCCGTGTGCAACGACAACTGCTGCGCGAGGAGGGCGCAGAACTCCCTCACGGTCGCCGTCTGGTAAGTGAAAACGTAGAGGTTAGAGGGTTAAAAAGTCGATTTTGGAGGAAACGCGTGCACGGGTACATCATATGAGGGAATATGATAGTCAAAGTAGCATTTTTAGTCAACGCGACGTTCGGGTGAGCGGTAGCAGTTCCATAATATTTGATTTAAGCGATAAATGGCAACGCTTACCTCTGAAAATCGTAAAGGTTAGAGGTTAAAAATGTCGATATTTGAGGAACTGCGTGCACGGCTGCATTGCGCGACGGAATAGAGTCGTCAAAATGGTATTTTCAGTCGGGATGACCTTCGGGGTTGCGTCAAAATCGGCGTTTTCTTTCGATGTGTGTGAATGTAGCCTCGCCCCGGTGGCGCTTTTTAATTCCCTTCCGCTTCCGCAGTGTTGTTTAACAGTCGTCTGCCCTCATCCGGATATTATGAGCGTCTCAGAAGTGAAGTGAGTAATGGTTTAATACGCGGCAAAAGTGGAATGGTAAAACGCTGAAGCGGCATTCTCGCCGTCAGGTTGGCGGTATTTTATACGTAATTAGACTTAACGTCAAAGGAACTGCTGTCACACGGGCTCCGATAAAGTGCGAGCAAAGCTACTTACACTCTTCAACTACGCAGGGCATTTCGGATATTCCCGTTGAAAAGACGTCGTCAGCAAAACGCTCCCCTTCATCCAGCGCACCCTCTCAAACTAAATCGCACCAATTAGAAACAATAAATGCCGCACCTACACCGGAAATCATACACAGGGAGGCCATTACGCGCAGCTGTACCAACTAAGAACACATAAAAATTTGCATGAGGGGTTCGCGACCCGATTTCGCAGAGGAAGGAGTTTCGTGCAGCCCCGTAGCTACGGGGGGGTAAGAGGGGGCTGAGCCCCCCCTAGCAGTTGTGGTTGCCCCCCCCTGGAAGACTTATACATTATAAATTTCAAATTAGTAATAAAATTTCAATATAATGCCGATTGCCGAAGCATATTAACTGGCCCCACCCGCCCCACCTTTATTTTCGTACAGGGTATATTATTTGGCAATATCACCTTACCGTTGATGTTGACCCTATAAAAAAATGAACATGTCACATTTTATTCCATAGCCTACTATGTAGGTACTTGAGAAAAGTCAAAAATATTATATGGATTTTCTAAAAATTGAGCTTTTATTGAAATGGACAAAAAATAGACAAAAAATTCTGAGATGTAGATGTCGATGAGCTTAATCAAAAAACATAAGGTCTTGATGGTCCCAGACCAAGATTTTTCAAAAATTCGGTTCCAAAGTCGACATTTCAAAATTTCTGAAAAATTACATTTCTTTTGGCGGCTCTGGAAAAATTGTACGAATGTTCGAAAAAATAAAACCAAAAAAAAAACATTTGGAGATCGAAATCAATAAAAAGATCCCTTCTGCTAGTTTTCGAAAATGCGTGGGAAAAGTCAAATTTTTTTTTATAGATTTTCAAAAATTGAGCTTTTGTTGAAATTGGCTGAAAATCTACAAAAAATTCTGAGATGTAGATCTCGACGAGTTTAGTCAAAAAACATAAGGTCTTGCTGCTATTCGGTTTCCAAGTCGAATTTTTAAAATTTCTCAAAAATTATACTCCTATTTCTTTTGACGATTCTAGAAAAATTTTACAAATTTTCGATCAAATAAAACCAAAAACAACATCTGAAGATTGAAATAAATAAAAGAATGACTTTCGGTAATTTTTGGAAATGCTAAGAAAAGTCAAAATTTATTTAGTTTTCAAAAATTGAGCTTTTGTTAGAGTTGACAAAAAATTCTGAAATATAGATCTCGATGAGCTTAATCGAAAAACATGTTCATGCTCCCGGAGCAAATTTACGAAATATTGGGTTCTACCTAAAATTTCTAAAAAATCTCAAAAGTGACTTAAAAAAAAGTTATTTCTTTATGCGATTGTGGAAAAATTCGACGAAATATCAAAAAAATAAAACCAAAAATAACATCTGTAGATCGAAATCAATAAAGAGATCCCTTTTGCTAAATTTCGAAGATGTTTGGAAAAAGTCAAAAAATGTATATGGATTTTCAAAAATTGAGCTTTTGTTGAAATTAACAAAAAATCAACAAAAAATTCCGAGATGTAGATCTCGATGAGCTTAATCCAAAAACATAAGGTCTTGATGGTCCCAGACCAAGATTTTCGAAAAATTCGATTTCAAACTCGACATTTCAAAATTTCTCAAAAATTACATTTCTTTTGGCGGCTTTGGAAAAATTGTACAAATTTTTAAGAAAATAAAACCAAAAACAACATTTGGAGATCGAAATCGATAAAGAGATCCCTTTTGCTAATTTTCGAAAACGGTTGGGAAAAGTCATAAACATTTTATAGATTTTCAAAAATTTAGCTTTTGTTGAAGTTCCAAAATCCACAAAAAAATCTGAAATGTTGATCTCGCCGAGCTCAATCAAAAAACACAAGGTCTAGATGGTCCCAGACCAAGATTTTCGAAACATTCGGTTTCAAAGTTCAAAAATTACATTTCGTTTGGCGATTGCTGAAAAATTTTACGACTTTTCAACCAAATAAAACCAAAAACAACATCTGGAGATCGAAATCAATAAAGGAATCCCTTTTGGTAATCTCGAACGTGCTTGAAAAAAGTCAAAAATTTGATACAGGTTTTCAAAAATTGCCATATTTCTTCCGTCGATTCTGGAAAAATTGTAAGAATTTTCAAAAAAATTGAATCCAAAACGATTTTTGGAAATCGAGATGAACAAAGGAGTCTCTTTTGATAATTTTTAAAAATGCTTGGGAAAAGTCAAAAATTTTATATGGGTTTTCAAAAATTGAACTTTCGTAAAAGTTGACAAAAAATTCTGAAATATAGATTTGGACGAGCTTAAAAAAACATGACAGGTTCATGGTTCCGGATCAAAATTTTCGAAATACTCGGTTTCGAGCTGGAATTTTCAAAATTTCTCAAAAATAACCATATTTCTTTTGGGGATTATGGAAAAATTGTACGAATTTTCGAAAAAACAACCAAAAACAACATCTGGAGATCGAAATCAATAAAGGAATCCCTTTTGGTAATCTCGAACGTGCTTGAAAAAAAGTCAAAAATTTGACACAGGTTCTCTAAAATTGCCATATTTCTCCCGTCGATTCTGGAAAAAAAGTTAGAATTTTCAAAAAAATTGAATCCAAAACGATTTCTGGAAATCGAGATGAACAAAGGAATCTCTTTTGGTAATTTTCGAAAATGCTTGGGAAAAGCCATAAATTTTATATGAGTTTTCAAAAATTGAACTTTCGTAAAAGTTGACAAAAAATTCTGAAATATTGATTTCGACGAGCTTAAAAAAACATGACAGGTTCAAGGTTCCGGATCAAAATTTTCGAAATACTCGGTTTCGAGCTGGAATTTTCAAAATTTCTCAAAAATTACCATATTTCTTTTGGCGATTATGGAAAAATTGTACGAATTTTCGAAAAAACAACCAACAACAACATCTGGAGATCGAAATCAATAAAGGAATCCCTTTTGGTAATTTCGAATGTGCTTGAAAAAAGTCAAAAATTTGATACAGGTTCTCAAAAATTGCCATTTTTCTTCCGTCGATTCTGCAAAAAATGTAAGAATTTTCAAAAAAATTGAATCCAAAACGATTTTTGGAAGAAATCGAGATGAACAAAGGAATTCTTTTGGTAATTTTCGAAAATGCTTGGGAAAAGTCAAAAATTTTATATGGGTTTCCAAAAATTAAGCTTTTGTTAAAGTTGACAAAAAATTCTGAAATACACATCTCGACGAGTTTAAAAAAACATGACGAGTTCATGGTTCCGTACCAAAATTTTCGAAATACTCGGTTTCGAGCTGGAATTTTCAAAATTTCTCAAAAATTACCATATTTCTTTTGGCGATTATGGAAAAATTGTACGAATTTTCGAAAAAACAACCAAAAACAACATCTGGAGATCGAAATCAATAAAGGAATCCCTTTTGGTAATTTCGAATGTGCTTGAAAAAAGTCAAAAATTTGATACAGGTTCTCAAAAATTGCCATTTTTCTTCCGTCGATTCTGCAAAAAATGTAAGAATTTTCAAAAAAATTGAATCCAAAACGATTTTTGGAAGAAATCGAGATGAACAAAGGAATTCTTTTGGTAATTTTCGAAAATGCTTGGGAAAAGTCAAACATTTTATATGGGTTTCCAAAAATTAAGCTTTTGTTAAAGTTGACAAAAAATTCTGAAATACACATCTCGACGAGTTTAAAAAAACATGACGAGTTCATGGTTCCGTACCAAAATTTTCGAAATATTTGGTTTCGAAGTCGGATTTTTAAAATATGTACTAAACATGCAAAAAAATGAACTCAAACAAATTGGATGTTACCTATATGGTCACTACACAAATTTTTGGATGCAGTACAGCTGTTTGTGAATCTACATTCTCTGTTTTAACCAGCATTTTAACCAAGTACCGTACTAATTTTATGGACTTCGACAGGTTTTTACGAAAATTTAGCGTGAAAAATCGACGTTTCCAATTATTTTAATGTTCTTTCAAATATAAAAACTCAGAAAAAATAAAGTAGTTATCTGAGTGTATTATTAAAATATAAATATTTACATGAAGCCCCCTCTGTCGACAAACTTGCCCCCCCTGAATAAGTTTTCTAGCTACGGGGCTGGTTTCGTGGCGAAAGTTGAGGTCGCGCTCTAATTCGCGATCGGAAAATTTTGAACGGTGGTTATTGATTGCGGTGCGAAAAAGTCGTCTGGTTGTTAGTAGGCTGCGACATTAATATAGCGCACCTGTCATCTCAAATGACCGTCATTTTTAAGAGTTTTTCGTTGACGATATAGGGACGTCGCAGACATGATTCCTACGGCTAATATTTCTCGTTGTTTTTGTCGGGGGGCGAACGAGAAACAAAAAATTGCGATTTGGGGAAGTTAGAGAACTCGTGATACACTTAGAACTTCGGTAATGACATCTTTAATAGTTAATACGAGTC